TTAGCTACAAACAAATTATTGCCACCACCATCGCCACCTTGCTCTCAAGCAGCCGCCTCCTCCGCCTTCGTCATTATTATCCCGTCTCTTCTCATTAGTGACAATGAGCTCTTCCTCTTCACCACTGTCACCCTTTCTGTTTTTGGCAACCAATGGAGAGCAAGGTGGTAGTGATGATTTGATAGTAGTGACACAAAAGAGTACAACGAAGGTTGCAACAAAAACAGAATAGATAATTAGTCGAGGGCAAGATGATAGCGATAGTGTTGAGAGTCATGGGGAGTGGAAGGTATGGTTGTGAACAAGTATTTTTATCAAAATTACATCATCATATGAAAGTTTAATAGTAATAATATTTTTTATAAAATATCAAATTTATTTCAAACACATGTTTACTGTCAAAGAAATCCTTTATTGATAAGTGTATATATATATATAATGGCCATCTTTAAGGTTTTTTAGTTTGCCGGAGGAGTTTTGGCACCGGCGGCACGCTTCCTAGCGAACTCTTCTAACCTCTCTGGCTCCGGCATCACCGCCTTCACTGCCTCGTGGGCGCAGAACCTCTTCGCCCACCTCGCAAGCAGAGGCATCTTCTCCTCGTCGATGAACTTCACACCACTAGTCTTCTCCATCACCTTCAGCCACCCCAGGAAGCACCCCAAGGCGATGTCAACGTATCCGATGTCGTCCCCTCCGAAGAATCCTTTTCCTTTGCTCAGTCTCCCGAATGCCTCATCTAGTAGCTTCAGCCCCGCGATCACCTGCCCCGTTGCTTTCCCCTTGGCCTCCTCCGTCTGCGCCTTCGATAACGCAGCCCCCGATGGGTTCAACTGGGATGCTGTAAGGATAACGGAGAGAGCAGTTTAGTCCGTGTTAGAGCTAGCCCCAGGATATTTACCACAAGGTAATTTTGGCAACACAACAAAGATAATAAAGCGAAAAGATAAAAGCGACAAGAACACCAGATATACGTGGTTCGGTCAATTGACTTTCACCTACATCCACGGACGAAAGAGGAGCAAATTATTACTGCAAAAGAGGAACAATTACAAATGCCTTAAGAAGATGTTCCTAGGCCATAAAACACCCGAAAATACTAAACAAGAAAAACCAAACTTTAAGCCCAAACTATTTAACTGAGTATGGACTTTAAACCAAAGCAAACACTTAGGTTTTTCTTGTAGTGCATCTGACTTCAAAGCTCAGGCCCTTATTTATAATTCCAAGATGAGACAACAAGTCTGATTTTCCCGATGTGGGACTATGAGACTTGCCAAACTAACAAATCTCCACCTTGGCATGTCCCAACAAAACTTGCTCCACCTTCTTCATAAAAGTCCCAACGAGCAATCACCAACAATGAACACCAACCAAGTCCAAGCACTGCTTGAACTTGTAAACCGGAAGATGCTTCGTAAACATATCAGCTGGATTGTCCTTCGTATGAATTTTCTGAACAAGGACTTTTCCCTCAGCAATGATATCCCGAATAAAATAAAACTTCACATCGATGTGTTTTGTCCTCTCATGATACATCTGGTCTTTAGTCAAATGAATAGCACTTTGACTATCATAGTAAATTGTAGTAACACTTTGATGCAAACATAATTCGCTGAACAATCCTCTTAACCATAAAACTTCTTTGATCGCCTTTGTCACTACCATATATTCTGCCTCTGTAGTAGATAAAGCTGCGACAGATTGTAAGGAAGCTTTCCAACTAACTGCACAACCGCCAACGCAAAATACATAGCCTGTCAAAGATCTTCGTTTATCAAGATCCGCAGCATAATCAGAGTCGACGTAACCAACCAAAGTGTCACGATTTTTCCCAAATTCCAAACAAGCATCTGAATTCCCTTGCAAGTATCTGAGAATCCACTTCACAGCCTGCCAATGTGTTTTACCCGGGCGAGACATATATCTACTAACCACACTAACTGCTTGTGAAATATCTAGACGAGTACAAACCATTGCATACATAATACTGCCGATGGCACTAGAATATGGAATTTTCACCATATATTCTTTCTCTTCAACTGA